ATTTTCAAGGGAACCAAAGGGACTGGACCATCCAAATTCCACTAAATTTCCATTGGAATTGGTTCTTTCTATCCTTGTAAGAATAAGTACTTTTGAAATGCAAATGCCATGGGAAGTGGGAGGAGACTTTATGTCATGAAAGCTGTATTTATTTCTGTTTCTATACAAACGAATTCCCTTGTTTGCATTGCTATAAATTATTTACACGTGAAAGGCTGAATCATCCAATAATGTTAAAAGGATTATCAGATCTGAGACATATCAGTGATGCGTTAAAAGAATCTTTGACAACATTTCTCCCTGTACTGTATTTTGTGTCTGTGCTGTACTTTGAGTCAGATTCATTCTACTGACTTCAAAAATGACTTTGACATCCCAAGTCCCACATTTGATAGGACTGAATAGTATGGAAAAGGGAGGACAATTCAGTTAACATGGAATGTAGGCATAAAAGCATCCATCTATCCATCTACCTGCCTACCTACACACCTTTACAACCACCAAATTTGAAGTGGCAGGAAATTCCCAGATTAGTTTAGCATGAAAAAATCCAGAGTATATAACAGATGAGACTCAGATGGTGAATTTTTATATATTAAATTATATATTTATATGAAAAGCTAATTCAGAATGAGAATCTATCATTAAATAACATGAGGCTTGATGCAGAGTTCATTGAAGTCAATGGGATTCTTTCCATTACTTTCAGTAGACTTTAGATCTGTCATTGTGGTAGTAATTGTATTTTCTGTTAACCTAGGGGCGTTCCCCTCCTCACCCCCATCCCTCTTATGTTAGTCCTTCGCTCGGGCGCTCTGTATTTCCCTTCTGGCTTTGTCATGTTTTTGGTTCATGACTCTTAACAGCTACTAATAAAATTCTCTCTCAGTGCTGCCCCCCTCCCCCATAACACAGGCAGTTAAAAAAAACAAACAACAAAAAACCCAACAAACAAAAAAAACAAACTTAAATTTGAAAGCACATTTCTCAGAAGTCCAGCTCTGGCTGACAACACAAACATGCTGCATTCTAAATAGAACTTGGATATCTTAAAAAAAATAAATAAATAAAAATCAGGTGTTACACTTGGAACAGACAGTTTAGCGATCCAGACCATTACCAATGCCCTGTAATTTTGTGTACTTATCTAATGTACTCTGCCCACCCAATCTGAAGTTTATTTCAGAGCAGCAACTGGTTCTACAGGAACTACCTATACTGTTGACTCACTAAGCTATGACAGTAGTAATGCTAAGAAGTAGGGCTGCTGCCCCTGCAGACACAGTGCTGATATACCACTTTGGATTAGGAAAGACCCATTTTAGGCTCAACTTGCTTCACATGTTTCCCAGACTGGATTAGGAAATAACTTATATTAGGCTAAACTTGCTACACCAGACTCCAGGTTTAGTCATTAATTGCATTTGTCTTATGCTTGGCAATATGAGTGGTTTTAAGCCACCTGTATTATACCAACCCAGAATTTGAGGTTGTTCAGGGACTAAACTAATTCCATTGTCCAGTTTAGATGGAGGCCAGACCAGGGCTGAATGTAATGTTTTTTTTAGGGGTCCCACATTAGTTTGAGGCTGTCTTGGCACTAGTTCCATTCATCCCAGTGGAGCTTTCTCTCTGAATGCAGTGTGTGGACAGACTGTATGTTCTCAAACTTGTCCTTTCCAATCTTTATGCAACAAATACCCAGTGTCTCTTTAGACTTTGGATCACCCTAGTTATTTACATCAAACGCTGCCTCAAAACAGAAGTAATAACTGCTTCACCCATAGATGCTCTTATCTAAATTGATTATGGGCCTTGTTCAAGACTACCTCTGCCCTCTGATGGGGATTTAACATTAGGAAGCATCTGCTACTAAGACAATGCACACAAAATCAGAACGCAGGAGTATGAAGACCTGTGTTAAGATCAGGCAGGATGGAGGGACACACAGGATGTGGTCTAATCTCATTTCAGTTAGATTTGGCTAGTTAGACTGGATTGAATTTAACATTATTGGGATAAATACTATAATAATCATTAGCATCTTTTATATTTTAGCTTCATTGATAAAAATGCACTCTAATGCCAATGAAACTAGCGGAATTCCATCAGTTTTGTATCAGCTTAACTGAGAGTTTTGTCCTTATTATCATTATTATTGCTTCGTTATTTTATTATATTATAATGCAGAACTTCAGGGGCACAGGAAGCAACCAACCTTCCCGTGGGACACTGCAGACATGTAAGATGATACAGTTCCTGCTCCAAAGAATTTAAAGTTGAAGATTAGCAACAGATGCAAGATGTTGGAAAGATAGACTCAAGATATTAACAATGGCCGTCTGTTACATTGCTTATTTATCCAATTTATATGCCACCCTTCCCTAAAAATGGCTCAGGGTAGCTTACAATAAAAGACAAAAAAAGTATAGAAACAAAATAAAATATGAAGATAAGGTACCACCAAAAAAAATCTTTCCCCCCCAAAATTCAAGAGCAATCACCCCATTTTCCACTCCCCTGCTTCTGACTAGCTGTCCTCTCCATCCAAGTGAACCTAATTTCACAATCCACATTCAATACTTCTGTACAAGGAAAACAAGTATTCCCCCCATATTTCCCCACCTGTGTGTTACGGGCAAGGGAGTCCTTGCCCCCCCAATTCTCCTTCCCATGCCTTTCTCAAAGGGGAGGTATGGTTGTTCCCAGAACCCACTTATCCTCCCAAGGAAACATATTTCAGTTTTTAAAAAAAGAGAGTGATAACAAGCAACACAGTAAAAATACCCCTTTCCCCCAATCTCTGTTCCAGCCAAAGGGTGACCCAGGGTGGCTTCTACTCCCTTTTAAAGTCTACAGGCTGAATATGCTTTTCTCTTTCCATCTAATAGAATAGATTATATACAAAAACATTATGTTAAAAGAACGTTAGGGTTTATATCAGGCAGTGCCCTCACAGTGGGACATTATGTTAAAAAACAAGAAGATTGCAAATCAGGTGCTTAGAGGCTGGAAAATATCAGAACAGTGGTGCAACTAAGGCAGCAGCAAGTGGGGCACAAGCCCCGGCACTAACTTAGGGGGACCAAAATAGCAGCCAGAGCCCCATGAGTCACCACTACACAGGGCTCTGCCTAGGTACCCCTCTGTGTCAGAATTAAGGTTCCAGTGCATATGCAACCTGAGTACAACCTGTGTGCACTGCATATACACATAATGATACAGTCCCCTGTACACAGGATGACACAGACATAGAGAAGTAAGGGTGGAAGGGACTTCAAGAGATCTAGTCCAGTGAGTTTCAACCTGTGGTCTACAGGCCCCTGGGGGTCCTCAGACTATGTCTAAGTGGTCTGCAAAAAATGACTATGATCAATCAAAAGTATGTGAATACCTATATTTACAATTCAAAGGGGTCCGCACCTGCATACAATTTTTTTTCGGTGTCCGCAAATGAAAAAAGGTTGAAAACCACTAATCTAGTCCAACCAGGACTAATCTAGTCCAACCAATCTAGTCCAATAAAACCTGTAGCCTTGGTATTATTAGACCCACACTCTAATCACCTGAGCTAAACAGCATGCTCCCTGAATGGGTAGTTTTTCAATATTTCCTTTTATCTTTGTAATTCAATATGTAGACCCTCGTTTACTATTCTTCTTTCATACCATGTACTGATTAAACAAAGTGACTTCCCTTGTGGCTGCTTTTACGTTTGGTCTTGCCACAGGACCTTATAACTTTACAAATATAAATCTTTGCTACACCTTTGAGGTAAATAAGTGGTATTAAATTCTGTTTTACAGGTGAAGAACTGAAGTACACAGAGTAAGGTGCATCCACTAATTTTGCAAGTCCAATCTGGGCTTGATTGTTCAGAGAAATTGGTGCTACTAGAGGTGCACCAACACATTGGTCCGATATCGGATTGGCACTGATATAAAGAAAATTGACTGCATCGGAAATCAGCCTCATGTGGCCAATAATTTGGCCAATAAATGCCCGTGCATGCGTGCAGCCGCAGCATAGCATGTAGGCAGCGAGGAGCACAGCCTGGCAGTATGGAAAGCTGTGTGCAGCTGGTAAGTCTGTTGTGGTGGAAGGGGAGGGGGGAAGGAGCACTGGGGGGGTTGGGAGATGCAAGGGTGGGGAGGGGTGGTACCTCCTGCTGCTGTGCACACCCCAGGAGGGCATGGGAGGGGGTGTGTCCCTGGGTCTGTGCGCAGCATGGGGAGGGTGAGCTACAGCTGTGGGCTGGGGTGAGGGCTGTGCTGGGCTCTTCCTGGTACATGGGGGGTGGGTGGGGGTGGGGTTGGGCTAGGGCTGCACTTGGGACAGGCAGTGCTGGGAAGGGGGCTATGGCAAATCCTAGGGTGGCTGCACCCTGCCATGCAGCCCCTCTCCCAGTACCACAGCTGCCTGCCCCAAGTGCAGCCCAGCCTAGCCCCTACCAGGAAGAGCCTGGCGCAGCCCTGGCCCCAACTCATAGCCACAGCCCACCCTGCCCGTGCCCCACGCAGACTTGTGGGCACAACCTCCCCCCTCCATACCCTGGGGTGCGCAGTGGTGGGAGCTGCCTCCACCCGTGCCCCTAGGATGAGCTGCAGCTCCATTCTGTGCCCCACCCTGCCCTGGCTGGGCAGCGCCTGCCCCACTCCTCCCTCACCGCAGGGGCCTTGATCTGTCCCCCACTGCCCCTTCCCTCCCCCCTCCCTTTCCACCACAACAGACTTACCAGCTGCATGCCCCTCTCCAGGCTGTATCGGAAATTGGATTGGTGTTTGCCAATATGCCTCCCTAAAAATCAGCTATCGGTATTGGCCCTCAAAATCTCTATCAGTGTACCCCGAGGCGCTACACAGCACTTTATATATTCAACTATGCACAATCACTTCAGTTACAATCACAAGTGCTCAGTATTTCTACAGTCTGGTCTATGGTATCTTAAGTCACTCAACCAGAAAATGAAGAACATACAATTAACAGCCCTTGTGACTTACCAGCATCATCTAGGAAACATATGGCAAAGACAGGCATAAAATCCAGTTCTCTAGGATTCGGGGATCTATGTTGTAGCTGTGTTGGTCTGAGAAAGAGAGATAAACAAAGCCCTTGGGTCAGAGGCAATGTCTTTTATTAGACCAACTAAATAGTAGCAGAAAAATTCCTTTCTGTGCAAGCTTTCAGGTGTGTGTACCTGGCCCCCAACAACTCACCAAAACTAAGTGGTCCTCCAGCCCAAATAATTGCCTACTCCTGGCCCAGATCTTTTAATGGTCTTCTTTAGTCTTAAAAACTATGAATGAATCACAAGGGACCCAAATAAGGGTTGGCAGGGCAACTTTAATTCTAGCATTTACTAACTTGAGCGCCTGACTTTGCAAGTTGAGTATTATTTTAACAACTATGAAAAGGAATACCCTAAATTTTAAATAAGCAAACCAAAAAAAAGGAAATCCAACATGTGGAACCCTAACTCAGAGCCACATTTAAGCTAACAGAGTAACTGGAAACAACAGTAGTCTCTTATCCTGTATATGGAACGTCTGCTACAGTAAAATGAGAAATCCTTAATAGTGTACATCACAGTTGTTTGCTGTAAAGCACTAGAATATGGAAGCTCAGAGATCCAGAGGTTTTTTCTGGGGTGCACCAAGAAAGACTTTTGGTCTTGATAACCAATTTTTAAAGAGGCATATTGGCCAATACTGATCCGATTTCCGATACACAGCCCAGCAGCTTGAAGAGCAGTATCTGACTGGTAAATCCGTTGTGGTGGAAGGGAAGCGGGGAGAGAAAGGACATGGGCGGGTGCAGATCAAGGCCCCTGCAGCGAGGGAGTGGAGCTGGGACAAGCACTGCCCAGCCGGGGCAGGACATGGAATGGAGCCGCAGTTCGTCTGGGGGGCACAAGGAGTGGGGACGGCTCCCACTGCTGTGCGTACCCCAGGAGGGCATGGGTGGGTCCTGTAACCCTGGATTTGCTCAGGGCAGGGCGGGCTGCTGCTGCAGGCTGGGGTGGTGCTGGGCTCCTCCCGGCAGGGGCTGGTCTGGGCTTAGCTCGGGGCGGGCGGTGGCAGCGCTGGGTGGGGGGTACAACCACCCCAAAATTCCCTGTAGCTCCCCCAGCCCCCCCTCTCAGCACTCTCACCTGCCCCAAGCGCAGCCTGGCCCAGATCCTGCCAGGAAGAGCCCGGTGCAGCCCTGGCCCCAGCCTGCAGTGGCAGCCTGCCGCTGCCCCCGTGCAGATCTGGAGCACACGCTCTCCATGCCCTCCAGGGGTGTGTGCAGCAGCGGGAGCCACCCCTTCCCCCCTCACTTCCACGCCCCCTGGACAAGCCATGGCTCCATCCCATGCTCCGCCCTGCCCCGGTTGTGCAGCGTCTGCTCCAGCCCCACTCCCTCCCTCACTGTGGGGGCCTTGATCTGTCCCCCCCACCCCTTCCACCACAACAGACTTACTAGCTGGACTCAGCTCTCCAAGCTGCCGGGCTGTGTTCCTCTCTGCCTACATGCTGCAGTGCGGCTGCACATGTGTACAGGGCATTTATCAGACACGTTACTGGCCACATCAAGCAAAAAAAGCCAATTTCCGATACAGCCAATTTTCGTTATATTGGTGCCGATCTGATATCGGAGTGATGTATCGGTGCACCTCTAGGTTTTTTTTTTTTAGGTTCTAGAAAGGAGTGTGCTCCAGTGGTTACATACCCATTTCAGGGAGGACCCAGGAGAAAGCTGAACTCCTGAATGACTACTTTGCTTTGGTCTTCCACTGGACCAAGGGGAAAACAATGCCAGGTAAAGTACAGGATGAGCATGGCAGGAATAATCACCTTCCTACTATTGCTGTAGAATTGATGTATGACCAATTAAAAAAAAATAGACATATACAAGTCAGCAGGACCAGATGATCTTCATCCAAGAGTGAGAAGGAGCTGGCCGAAGTCATTACAGAATCCCTGGCAAAACTTTTCCACAGCCTGTGGCGCTCTGGAGAAGTCCCTGAGGACTGGAAGAGGGCCAATGTTGTGCCTATCCACAAGGGCAGGAGGGAGAACCTGAGTAACTATATGTCAATCAGCCTAACTTCCATCCTACGGAAAATCCTAGAAAAGTTCATCAAGGAGTCTATCTGTGATAAGTTTGCAGAAGGTAAGATTCTGAATGACAGCCAGCATGGCTTCATCACAGACAGGTTTTGCCTTACCAACCTCATCTCCTTCTATGACCAGGTAACTTGCCACCTGGACATGAGAGCAGGTTGACATTGTATACCTTGACTTTCAAAAGGCCTTTGATCTAGTATCCCACAATGTCCTCATGAGAAAATTGGAGGATTGTGAGCTTAACTCTGAGACAGTCAGGTGGGTAAGAAATTGGCTGCAGGATAGGACCCAGAGAGTTGTAGTGAACAGATCTGTGTCATCCTGGTGAGAAGTGGGCAGTGGTGTCCCACAGCGGTGGTGCTTGGTCCAGTCCTTTTCAACTTCTTTATTAACAATTTGGATGTGGGGGTGAAGAGCTCACTAGCCAAGTTCGCGGATGGCACCAACTTATGAGGAAGCGTGGTCACACTTGAAGATAGGCTACAGATACAGGTGGACCTAGACAGGCTAGCAAGTTGGGTGAATCAGAACCAGGTGAAGTTCAGCATTGAGAAATGTAAAGTGCTCCACCTTGGGACGAGCAACTCCCAACACACCTACTGGCTTGGCGGCAGCAAACTTACTAGCACCACAAATGAAATGGATCTGGGGGTAATAATAGACCACAGTATGAACATAAGTTGGCAGTGCAACGCTGTATTCAGTAGGGCAAATAATACTCTGGCATGCACCAATCGATGCATCTCCAGCAAAACCAAGGAGCTGATTCTTCCACTCTACTTAGCACTGGTGAGAGCACAGCTGGAGTACTGCGTCCAGTTCTGGGCACTACACTTTAACAAGGACATGGACAACAGTCCAAAGAAGAGCCACTGGTGTGATCAGAGTCTTACACAGAAAGCCATACAAGGAAAGGCTGAGGGATCTGGGACTCTTCAGCCTGAAGAAAAGAAGACTGAGAGTGGACCTGGTAGCAGCTTACCACTACACCACGGGAGTACATCAAGGGCTTGGTGAGCAATTGTTCACCAGGCACCCTTGGGGAAAACCAGGAGTAATGGCTACAAACTCCTGGAAGACTGATTCAGGCTCAACATTAGGAAAAACATCTTCACAGTCAGGGTGTCCACACTGTGGAAAAAGCTCCTTCCAGAGGTGGTGCAATTACCTACCCTGGAAATCTTCAAGAGGAGACAAGACAGTCACCTTGCTGGGGTCACCTGAACCCCCAGTTATCTTTCCGGCTTGGTGCAGGGGGCTGGACCCAATAATCTTCCAAGGTCCCTTCTGGCCTTACAGTATGAATCTATGAATTTAATGTATAAGGTAGAGATGCAATGATACATCAGTCTGATATTGGATTGGTACCAACATAAAGAAAATTGGCTGTATCAGAAATCGGTGCAACAGGGCCAATAATTACCTGTATGTGCGTGTAGCCGCAGCACAGCACTCATGCAGTGAAGAGCGCAGCCCAGTAGTGTGGAGAGCTGCCGCCAGCTAGTAAGTCCATTGTGGCAGAAGGGACGGGGGGAGGGAAAGGGCATGGGGGGGCAAATCACCCCACTCCCTGCTGTGAGGGAGGGGGCAGGGGGAGGCGCTGCCCAGTTGGGGTGGGGAGTGGGACAGACACGCAGCTCGTTGTCGAGGGGTGGCTCCCACAGCTGTGCACAGCCCGGGATGGCACAGGAGATGTGCGCCATGGATCTGAATGGGGCAAGGTGGGGCAAGCGGGCTGCAGCTACAACTGGAGCCGGGGCTGTGTTAGGCTCTTCTTGCTGGGGGTGGGGGCTACAGAGGGGGGCTGCAGCCACCCCAAATTTTGCCATAGCTCCCTCCCAGTGCCACTGCCCCGGCTCTTCCCAGCTCAACCCCTGCCTCTCCCCACGCGCTGGGAAGAGTCAGGGCAGCACTGGGCGTGTGGCGGTGACGGTGCTGGGAGGAAGCTATGGTAAAATTTGGGGTGGCTGCAGCCCCCTCTGTAGCCCCCATCCTGAGCCCAAACCCCAGTGAGAGGAGCCCGGTGCAGCTCTGGCTCCAGCCCACAGATGCAGCCCGCCCTGACCTTCCCCACGCAAATCTAGGGGGCACATGCCCCTGCCCCCTATGTCCCTCCAGGGTACGCGCAGTGGTGGGAGTCACCCCCCTGATGAGCCATGGGTCTATCCTGTGCCCTGCCCCACCCCACCTAGGCAGCACCTGCCCTTGCTCCCTCCCTCACCAGAGGGACATTGATCTGCCCCTTCCCTTTCACCACAAAGGACTTACCAGCTGGAGGCAGCTCTTCAAGCTGTATTGAAAATTGTATCAGTATCGGCTGATATACCTCCTTAAAAATCAGATATTGGTATTGGCCCCAAAAATCTCTATCAGTGCACCTCTAGTATAAGGACAACTATGGGGGAATGTACAGAGACATAGTTAAATAATAACTGACCCACTGACTCTAGCTATTTGATGGGGAGGCAATGGGCCAGGAGATCTGTATATCCCATCCTCAGCACGCACGAAGTGTGCAGCAATACTTTTGGCCACGTAACCCCTTGGACTACGCACCCTTACTACAGAGTACAAGGGGAGTTCTTTATGCGCATGCTACCAGACCACCCCCATAGTGAGGGAAACACATACAAATCCAATCCTTAAAATGCAACAGGACTATATGACTTAATAGGACTGATCACAGAATATCAAGGACAGCTTGACCTACTCCTTCACTACGTTTTTTTTTTTTTTTTTTTTTTAAGATTAGTCAACACAACGAAAAACTTTTGCATAACATCTGATGAAAGAATCCTCTGCCTGCAGCTAATTCCCAAACAATACGAGGTCAGACTAACCTCATAAAATATCAGCTATGAGCTATTCTCCCAGTTTTACATGTGCTGCTTTTGAGGAACTTATTTCACATAGTGGAAAAGAGAAAAGCCAATGTAAATATGAACGTTATTGCCTAAACATTCTGATTTATTACGAGGATCTTTGCCTTCCTTAGAAGCTGCAGGCATTGGTTCTGGCTATGGGCAGGAGACTAGGTCAGAAAGGCCAATGATCTAGTCTGGCTTGACTGTCTCTTCACCTTCTCAAGCAATTGCACTCATTTTTAGCTTGTTAGCTAGTTAAATACAC